AATGTTCATATAATTAATACCTGGTAAGAAAAATGTTTATCGAAAATGTTATTTTTCCTCGAATAATTTCTGTACAAATTGTTCTTTATTAATAAGGGAAGAGCAGGGTGTGAGCATATATTTGGCACAAAAGCTTAGTAGTCCTCACCCCTAATGGTACAAAGCACTCCGTTTGATCAAATTGTCTTCACATCAAATAGCCCAAGTGCCTGAAATATTTGCGTTTGATTTAATCTTAATGTTAGACTGTTAGTTTTCCCTTTTTTATTGTTACCATAAGCAGGTATATAGTACATATTGTCATATGTGGATAACTAAGGAATTTAGTGAATGTGCAAAATGTACACATAAATTAAGGAAGAAATAAATTGTAAAGAAACCATTATAGTTCCAAAGGAATTTAACTAATATTAAAATAGTGTTTTTTTTCTAAAATTAGACACAATATGGAAACAAAGTATGTGTTTCATTAACTTATTTGTAAATCTATGTATATACTTATAATAAATCTGTAGAGCGATCAATTTTGAACATAAAATATATTTAAAAAATAACTATCAGGGGGTGGTTAGGGATCGCTACTGATGCCAAAAATGCAATCAGTAAAATTTTTGTCTGTCTGTCTGTCTGTATGTTCGTTATGGAAACAAAAACTACGGGACGGATTTTAACGAAATTTGGCACAATTATTCTTCATACTCCTGGGCAGGTTACAGTATACTTTTTATTACGCTACGATAAATAGGAGCAGAGCAGTGAAGAGAAATATTGGGAAAACGGGAGAAGTTACTCCATTTTTTAAGCTTCCGTAGCGTTGCAGGCTTATAGGTTAAAGCTACATAGAAATCATGTACGACGGGAATATTCTCCTTAAAATTATATAAAAACTATTCCTCGACGGCATATGTCTATCTTTTATGGTTGACTCACAATAACACGTGAAACTCCCGATAGATTAGCAATTCGGAGATTTCTGATTGTATTTGTCTACTCTAACGTTTACAACACTATAACTCATCCCTAATTTAAAAAAGTTAACATTATGACCTATTCAATAAAAAAAGAATCATGTAAATCGGTGTAGAAAAACACCAAAGTTATCTTCTTCTGTTCTTATAATAAGTCTGTAGAGCGATCAATTCAATAATCAAGGAATTACACGCTGACGGAGTCTTGGGCACAGCTATCTACATATATTTTTCTGCCAGAAGTTACTATTCCACGCGGACGAAGTCGCGGGCAAAAGCTAGTTTACAAATAATTCGTTTAAAAATTTCATTCGATTGAAAATGGGGAAGAGTTACCTATTGATTAAAGAAAGATGGGTATCGTCTCAAAAACTTGCGTCATATTATAACACCATTTTATCACGTAAAAAACTATAGAATTGATTCAAAATCACTAAAAAAATGTTTATCGTATTAGAATAAAAATGTTTACTGTAAACATAAAACTTTCATTAATATTGTTTAACTATACATCAAGGATTGTTAAAAAAAATAACTGGAAAGACTTATGAAGATCACTCTTATAATTTGTATATGTATTATCGAAAATTCAAATTCATATTATACCTAGTATGTTTTCCTACACGTTAAGGAAAATACATAGACAAAAAAAATATTATTTTTTTAAGTGTTATGTTGAAAATGTTTCATCATAAAAAAAAAAAAAATATTTTTGAGCAAATAAATTGTGCACAAAATATTAAACGAGATATTGTTATTAAAATAAATATGTACTATATACATATACAGTTTTAAGAGGGAATTATATGGAACCTCCTTCAACTGCTTTGATTAATTGTCGGTATAGTTTTCGGGTAAATACCCTTGAGACGTTGTACTCGTAAGTCACGACGAATTTTATTTCTAAATGTTACAATTCCATGATTTATATACTCGTAATAAAATATTTCTTTTCAATGGTTTTTAGCAGAATTCAAAAAAGTTTGTTTGTATGTCTGTACGTTTATTTATCTTATCCTCAGAAACGGTTTATTCTATTAAAATTTGTTTACTTATATAAAATTGTATATTATTATATTTTGGTAAACTTATTTAATACTAATTACGAGTATTTAATAAGCTTACCAACATACATATAATAAAAAAATACACTTATTAGACTTTGTATTTTTTTATTTCAGCCGGCTCGTAAGAAGTTAATTTATGTAAATTTAATCACGTTGAACAATGAATTGATTGTTATTGACTGAAATTTTAGTCCATATAATATTTTACGTCCATATACAATTATACATAATTATTTATAAGTTACTAGTTTTTGCCCGCGACTTCGTCCGCGTTAGTTTCGTCATTAGTGATATAGGTATAGCTGACCGGGCAAACTCTATTCCGTCTTCAATAACCCGGTATTGGTATTTATTAAATTTCTACTGTTTCAATCGAACAGAATGATTGACATATTAGTTAGTTGTCAAGTCTAATGTCAAAAAATCGTTTGTATGTGAAATAGAAAAGGGCTGTTTTTAGGGTTTTCCCGGCAATTTTTCCAATACTTCTCACCTTTTAAACCTTTCCTGGACTTCTAGGAGTATTTCAAGACTAAAATTAGCCAAATAGGTTCAGCCGTTCTCGAGTTTTAGCGAGACTAAGGAACAGCAATCCATTTTTATATATATAGAAGATTATGAAAAACAGAGGTTACCAATGAAGATTTTCTAAAAATTTTAATAACCAATGTAAGCTGACTTGATATATATAATAAGATATATACATGAAATAGAGCTCAGCTTAGGCTGGACATTTCTAGGTTATAATGGTTGTATAAAACAAGCCCAGTGTCGCGCGGCTGTCTTATAACTTCCAAATACTCGCATATTGTATACATTTAGTATACATATATGCTAATTTGTTTTCAAGTTAGCTTAACAAGTCTTATCAGTTATAAATACATATATTAAAAGGTTACATGGATGTTACGTTGAATGTACATAGAAGATATATAAGAAAAAATATGAAAAGCATTATTGTAAGGTATCAAAATGACGGTGTTTATAATCCAAAATTAACCAATGGATATAATATAGAGAAATATAAGAAAAATATGTCTCTGAAAATTAAAAAAAAAACTGTTAGGTTCAGCATTATTAAAAAAAACAACAAAATTTGACTTTTATAAAGGTTGCTTGTGTAACAAAACATACATTTAGAGAAAGCATCAGTCTAATTATCAAATAAGATACTGTATGCAAATTTTTCGAATCAAGTTCAATTATGCTTTTTTATGTACTAAAACATATATACATTCATAGACACATTTTACTTACAAAGTAACAAGTTTGAAGAGGACAGTATTCATTTAAGCTTTTTAAATCTGCTGCAGCTTTCACGAAATGCACTACGTTTTTACCGTTCGTATTAATTTATTTAATTACCAAATAAAATTGAATTGAAATCTTTTGAATGAATTAATTGTTTTGCTATTTGGACAACGTTATCAAGTGATGTACCATGGAAAATTTTGCTTTTGGATATCACTTCTATTTGTCCGTTGACATGTATAATCCCCTTTTGCTAATAAGGCCAGTACACAGCCTTGAAATACACAACCTTCAAATACCTTATAGCCTTCAAAGGAATGAAGCCTAATGCTCCTAGTTTACCGCAGGCAACCCTCTGTAAAAACAAACTGTGCCGTCTGTAAAATTTAGCCCCAACTGCCATGTTTACTCACTAATTCAGTTTACGTGGGTATACAAAAAATATTTTTCACTATAGTGAACAAAATCTCAATTTCCACCTAAAAACCTTATACTGAACCATTATTGTCCACTTATCCTTTTTTATACACAATCTAACACCTGAGAGAGTTTTCTGTATAAGAAGTCTATAGTGAGAGCTGCTAGTAAACGATATAATATGTTTATCCGGACGTTATATTTGTTCAGAATGTGAAATGCTTTAGGAGCGATAGTATTATAGCACTAGAAAGTAATGTTAAAGACAAAAAATTAGTTTGCGAACTACTAATATAAAATTATCTATTTTAAACAGTTAGTACGAACTTTATACAATAAAATTTTGTTCAATCAACTCAGACAACATCGCAGGCAACAGCTAGAAAATGAAATAGGTTTTATTTCAATATATTTATGTGTTGATTATAGAACTTCAAAATGATATTACAGAAAACACTTGAACATGGTAATGTTCAAAAAATTACTTCGTAGAATTTCCCAAGAGAATACTTTAGCGACACAGAAAAGTCTTTTAACATAAAAAGTCGAAACTTTAACATTTAGATTGTTTCATTTTCAATTATTAAAAAAAATGGTTTATAAAATGAATGAATTTACTATACCATCTATGATGTGATAACTAACAAGTGGGTTAGTTCATACCAGCTGACTGATGTACTCGATCGTTTGTATCAATCGACCTTATTATTGTTGGGTTGGTACTTGACAAATAGTAATAGTGCTGTTAGTAGTGAAGAGACCAATTTGGTACCAATTCAATGTAATTTTAATTCGAACGACATTGTGAACTGAAACTTTTTTTCGAATAATTGCTGGGACCTAACAATGAGGATTATTTGAGCATCATAAATATTTTTATTTTTGAGGGTACTACTTCAACCCAGCCCAGCTTTTCTATGAGCCTTACTCGTTATTTGATATTTTTATTTTTTGATAAAAGTAATAGGGTAGGAAGCAAACGTAAAAATCATGTATTTTTTATGTTATATTTTTATAGTTTCAGCAGGTTTACTTAAATACTGACAAGGAAAAATTAAAAACAAATTAATAAATTTTTTTTCGAATTGACTACTCACAAAACATATGAATCATTTTCCGTGTCGCATTCAGAAACCTACATGTAATACTTAGAAGAGATTAAAGAATGAAAAACGTTTAAAGTTTCGATGTAGTGATGATGAAAGTTAGGGTAGGCGTATTGTTCTTGAATTCTAGCATTTAACTACTTACAATATAAAGTCCTTTTATGTTTAATCATAAAATTAATTGTCCTCAGGTGAGAACCCAGCCGCAATGCAATCGTCCTCTCCTAGCTACTTTCATCTCAACTGCCAGAGCTTCTTAAACATACTCATTACTCTAAACTTTATTATAAGGTGACAATTACAATAAATGTCACCTGAAATATGTCCTCTGAGATGTTTATAAAATATAGCAAAATACAACACGAAATAAAATTTTTACATCCAGTTATTGAAATTATAATTGAAATAGTTTTTAAAGATCAATTAAACCAAGTTTGATTTATTCATGTTAAATAAAATTTATATTAGTCATTCTAAGTTTCACTTTGTGAAATAGACTAATTGAAAAATATATAAATATTTGGGACTGATTGATGTTTATTTTTTACATCATTAATTAAAAGTTTTAATTTGCTTAGTTAAGATATTAAAGTTTTTCATACGATAACACCTACCCACTTATTATTCAAATACTCTTTTTAGAACTCAAGGTGTCCGAAAGAAATTTCAAAATAAACTCTTCACTAATTGTAATTTGTTAAGCATTTATTTTTGTTTAGTGAGAAGTGAAGTTTTTTAGAAGTTATATTTATCCAACTTGATTCATACTTTTAATAACGTATTTATAACTTCATTCATCAAATTATGAAGTTATAAATACGACAAAAACTCAGTGGAGAAAAATTTTATTTCGTGTAACTCAGTTAACATAAACGCTAGATTAAACATGTTTTTTATTTAATATTATTATGTAATCTTTATCTGTATTGTTAACTGTAAAATATATATAAGCAATCAATGTGAATACTATCTTAGATTTAGATATAAAAGCACCAGAAAAGTATGGTTTTCAAGTTGTTATTAATTAAGTATAATAATGTAAAATATAATCTAGAACATCTTTATTAATCAAATTACAATTTTATATTAAGTAAGATGTATCTTAAATATATTTTCATTTAGTTTCATTGTATGTCAGAGTAGTACATTATTTACAGACATATAAAATAATCGTTGAAAATTATTTTGTTGTAACACGTACGAGTATAATATCATACTTTAATTACGTTCACTATAACATTGTATATATTCATACACATTATTGTGATACATATAAACTCACAGATATTAAATTTTTTGTAAATAATGATAAATAAAAAACTGTTCATTTTCATACGGCTATTTATTTCACACTGCAAACATTATTGTTATATTATTTTTTAATCAAAAGCGTAGTTGCCTATTTAAGCCTGTGCAATTTGGAAAGTTTTTAGTAGATACTGTTTCATTATTTTATAAAGGATTTTTCAATCGATTCGAATTAATAGTAATACTAGAGTGAATAATTATGTATATGTATATATACAAAATTCGCTCTCCGAAAAAAATATGAATGTAGTACTAAAATCAAAATGAATTCAAAAAGCCTTACGAGGAAGATACAATGGCTATTTAGTTATATATTTAAAAGAAACATGATTTCAGATTTTTTTTAATTTTTATTTTGGAATACTATTTAAAATCTCTTCACATTCAATTTAAAACAATATCAAGAAATTGGAAAATCTCTTCTACAATCCTTTAGTCAGTTATGTTTCACTTTAAACACACATCTCACCTTAGGTTGGTAAATATTAACAGGTTAAGCTTCGTAGATAAGATATATCTATTTCAATATTCCTCTTCCCATCGCTTAGAACCAGCATTATTTTCTGTTCGTGAGAGCGTGAACAATACCAAAACCGTAATAGATTTTCACCCAATAGATTTTCATCCGAGACTAATACACTGGTAAATTCAAAACCAAAGGCACATTGCTTGTAGATTATTCCATTGTTTATAATTATGTCAATAAAATTAATTTTATATTTCTTACATACAGTAATATTTTTCCCTTTATTCCTTATAACATTAAGAATCTCTTGTGTTTTCAATGTATATTTATCTAATGAACTGGAATGTAGGATGTTGAGAAAAAAACTTCACCTCTAATTCATGCTTCGACAGTACTGTATTGTTTAAACATTTAAAGGACCAACATCACCTAAAACCGACAATTATGATAAAACCCTTATAACTATTATTATTACGACTCATACATTTATTTTCAAGAAAAAGTAAAATTAGTTTATAGTTTTGTTTTCGATAACATATAGAATACAACATTTTCTTTTTTTATTATACAAATATTCAGATAATTTAAATGGCTTTAATATCTTTTATTTTTTTATCGGATTATAATATCAATTAGCATTGGTTTTATCGTCAAAATATAAAATCAAAAAAATCAAACTTAAAAATTAACTTTTGATATATCGATAATTTGGACCAAAAACTAAATTCACCACATTTTAGTTACGTTTAAATATTGTTTTTTTACAGTAAAAAGCAAAAATAAATTAAAAAGTCGATATTAGAAAAAACGGAATTACAGAAAGATATTATTATAATATTGATTGTCAGATGCAAAATATTTAGCCTACTCTGGCTATCTACGTACCTCTATTATATATATATGTATAACCATATAGAATAACAGTTTGAACATTATTTTCACTTTTAACTACGTCATGGACAGAAAATTAATATTAAAAGCCAAAATTCCACAAATCCAATAAAGTAAAGCAATATAAAAAATATAATTTCCCTGCTGAGTGTAAAATATGAGGAAATAAAATGTTTTTATTAAAATTTATTAATATTGAAACACTTTTCTACAGAAATTTTCACTGACAGGAGCTTTTATCACTATTTGCTAGTCTGGAAACTCGGTCGTTGTATAACTTGGAAAAAATATTTTTATTACAATTTGAAAATAAACTATTCATACCTTAGCTTCTGCAGAACTATCATAAATTAAGATGCTATTTCAAAATTGATATTGTAGTTATAGTTAACTGTATTTTTTGTATTCAATAAAACATAATGGATGGAAAATAAATGTATTGCAATTATTTTGATCCTCTAAAACTAACATTATATTGTTAAAATAAATTTATAAAATGTAATTTTTTTAACAGTTATAAAAATAAATATATAAAATTAAAAGTGGTGATAAAACATTATTATTTTACCATAACATCTTTATGAATAATATAAAATTATAAAGTTGAAAATAGAAAAGATGACAACGAAGTTTTCAAGTGATGCCTTTAACTCAAAAGTAATCGAAGCTATGGGAAAAAATATTTTTGTATGCCAATATATTGGCAAACGAGCAAACAGCCCATCTTGTCATAAATGGTTACTATAGCCCATGGACATTTGCAATATAAAGAGAATTGCAGATGCGTTGCGGCCAAAATGTAAGTAAATACGCAGCTCAAATCTGACAATATATTTGGCATCTTGTTTATATCCAAGTTTATTTTCCACGATTATTTTTTATTCTTGTTATGCCTTCTGATTGTGGGCAATGGCTTGTAATTTACTACATGTGAAATACAAGCAATATGTGCATATGCATAATAAAAATACATGTTTTAATACATGTATTTTTATATGAACATTATGATAACAAAATTATTTTTTTAAGGCGATCACCAAAATAAATCATAATGCAAATTAATGGGTATAACTACTTGATGGGCGGTAGTCATTGTCGCCCATGAACAGCCGCAACATGTCTTGCGGATGCTTTGCCAACCTTGGTGATGGAAACAGAGGGGTGGGAAGAAGGTAAAGTTGGCAAAGCGTGGGAACATGGAAAGGGCAACCGGCTCTCTCACTCATCGGACGAAACGCAGCCTGTGAAGGCTACTTCACGCCGATCTTCTGTGAAAGGGTGGTACGTTCCCGGTTGAGCTAGCCCACCCACCCACCAGCTCTAAAGGTATAGATAAATTTTGAAATTTGATTCTGAAGTTGTGGGAAGTTTATACTATAAGTTGTAAGCTGTATGTGTTTAGTGTTTCCATAATGAGATCTGAGACTTTCGCGAGTGTTCATTCAAATAAAACTAATATTTTGGGATTCACTACTCACACCCATGATCACGGTAGAAGAAAGGTTTGATTACAACAAAACCCATTATACTGTGGGGGTAGTAAAAAGAATTTTACATTCTAGAATTTTGTTTACTTTGTTGCTGACGTATCTGCTACTTACGAGTTTGAAGGTTTCATTAAGGTTTTTACCTACTTGTTTAATAGATAATTTACAAGATACTTTTAGAATCTTGAATCACTCCATAACAGGTACATAGTAGACCTATACATATTTAACCACAACTAATTAAACATTTATGTGTATTTTACTACGAGTCATCATTTGGAAGTTTATTTAATAACAAATAACAACAAATAGATGTATTCATTATTCATCTCTATTTAGTGAAATTACCCAATGTCATTTATTGGCTTTCGTAATTAGTATTACTGTTTTGATTAACAATTTCAATAATTCCTAATTTCAAGTTTCGTTCAGAATAATGTATGCGTTCTGAAATAAGAAAATAAAGGTGTAGAAGAGCTTATTCGAAATAGACTTTACTTAAACTATGTCTAAACCTATATTGAGTCTAGAAACTCATAAAAGAAGTCTTATTTATGTTGATGAATAAGTCAGAAATCATTTAGTTTTAGGTCAATAGATTTATTTGTCTATTGTATAATATCTTGTATTTATTTTATAAGACTCTATTCACAAATTCTTGGAAAATAAATAACATACGAATTTGTAAGGGATAACATTACTAAAAACTGTCCAAAAATTATATATGTATACCATTTAAAAACATTGTACACAACAATTTAAAATACTTATTAAACTACGATATTTTGTAATACATTCCAGCTGCTACGTACATCTACTATGTTTATCTTTGTGATGTCTCTCATTTTCAGGTGTCTTAAGTATAATGATTTATCAAATTCATTAAAGTATAGAAAAGGTAAATATTTCAGTACCACAATTTTGAATCCTTCGGCGTAAGTCTAACCTCATTTTTTTGCTTAAAAGTATAGTGTTCAAGGTCAATACAGGACGGTTTCATTAGAATAAAGAATAATTATATCTCAGATGAACATTATTAAGTTTTTCAATTAATTTTGATTGCTTCTCTTAAGGATCATAGAAAATACAATTTTAATTAAGTAAAGTAAATACTTATTATATTTAAATAAATTGGGTGTTTAC